TTTGAGCTCTGTAGGCCTGTCTTTAATGATGTTTTGTATTTTTGTTTATTATATCTAATATTTGTGCACTTTATCATTTCATTATTAAAAGGTTCCCTTTTATCTTTACTTCGTTTACTCCCCTCTTCTTTTTTTTTAACTAAAGTACTGTCTCGTATTGCTCTTGAAAGATATATGTTTGTGACCTAGCTTTTAGGCTTACCAAAAAATGAATTAAAAAAATAATTCTCCATAAATATATAGTATAGGTGTTCTTAAAACACATTTTTTAACCATATAAATGTGCAGTTTAGTATATTTATAACAATTTCAAAGAATGTTATTAAAATATTATGAATGGCAATAGTATCTTGGTGAAGAATAATACACATCCATTTCAACAAGATGTTTGGTCGAGTGAAAACACAAATAAAAAATAAAGAATTTTGATTAATATATTTTCTTTTGTTGTACTTCAACTAAATGGCCTTCAAACTATTGTTGAAGGCATTGCCATTGAAAACTAATCATGCCAATAATGAACTCTTGTTGATTTGCACACATATAAGAGAAAAATAATGCTGTTAAGAGAACACAACTTTTCATATATAGACTTAGATTCACACAATAATATTGAAAAAATATAAAATTTGCTTTATTTTTATTTTCAAGATAAAATTAGTGAGTAGGAGACGTAGAACATGCATAAAGCAATATATGGATGTCATACCAATGCTTGATCTGTTTCCTCACTCCAATGCTTCCTAAAAATATAAGAAAGCAACCTCTGCTTGATACCACTTAGGAAAATTTGTCCCTCCGTTACCTGATGATATTCATGCCATCTGGAGTTAGCAGATGCTCAGTAAGTTGGCAGTGAACCAATAATTGAAAAGGTGACAAAAACATAAATGATCTGCATGCATAAGAAAGGGATAAAGAGAGGGAGGGAGAGAGAGGGAGGGAGACAAAAGAAGCAAAGCTTCCTATATAATTAAACATGAGCATAAATGCAGGAAGAATAGGAAAGTGTAAGGTGCAAAATTCAAATGAACAAAAGGTTTGTTTCATGAATATGAGGAGCACTTCGCAATTTGACTGTGTAAAATTGGATATCATGGAGTTATACCGAAAACAAAAGATATATATGCAATCTTGCAGTACTTCCAGGCTTACATGTGATATAGTGACAATAGTTTGGCGCCTGGAAATAACTTAAGATTATAGCTTCTCAACCTGCTTTATAATCTTTAAATTTAGGGAAATTTACATACATAGCACATAATTCTTATGTATTTACATATCTCACACCTAAACATTGTTATTTACATCAGTGGCACTTTTGTCTTGTAAACATATGCATGAAAAGATGTATTTCACTTTTACAAAGTGGTAATAGTGTTAATTTTGATGTGATATTAAAGATTTGAGTGCTATGCTTGTAAATATGAAAGTTTAGGTGTGAAATATGTAAATACATAACAATTGTGTAGAATGTATGTAAATGCCCCTCGAATTTATGAATAACCAAGAATAACGAAAACTTACCTGACCATGTGAAGAAAGAAATAATTCATCATCTTCATTGCAAAATGTGCCTACCATCCTTACATCTACAAGGTTTCCAGAATCCCTAATCTGCACAATGTGTATTGCCTGGTAACGCAGTGACATAATACACAACAGATCCTCATGCAAGAAAACACCCATGCTGTGGGTTAAATTGATGAAGTCATTGCAGAAGACCTTCTCATCCAATACAAAACCATCTTCTAACCTGATGTTTAAATATAAGAAACACGTCAACAAATTTCTGTGCATCCAGTTAAAAAAATTAAGGAGCATTTACATACTTAGCACACAATTCCTGTGTATTTACATATCTCACACCTAAACGTCTATATTTACATATAATTACACATACATATACATACATATACATACGTAGAGATACATATACATGCATATACATACATATACATACATACAGATAGATACATACATGCAGATATATATACTTTGGTGCTTTAAACCTATGCATGAAAAGATATATTTCACTTGTAAATGGTGATAATAGTGTTACTTTTAATGTGATGATAAAAATTTAAGTGCTATGTGTGAAAATATAAAATTTTAGGTGTGAGAATGTAAATACATAAGAATTGTGTGCTATGTATCCAATAACTTAAGCCAATACCTCACAAGATGAAATACAATTCTTTCTATACATGGAACTCCATTGACCGCGCCCTCAGTAGCAGGAACTTCATGAGTTGGTGCCGTTGAGGTGGCAAATAAGCCAACTTCCAAACCCTCCAGATAAAGAAAGAAATCTTTGCAAATAAACTCATTATTTGTTGCAAGTGGTACAGTGTACAGTTGGCTGAAGAAGCTGTCAAACCTCTTTGCTCTATGTGACAGAGCATCAGAATCACAATCCTCGCCTTTATATGAGAAGGACACCCACGTAGGCCTGTAAACTATCAATTCCTGATGATTTCTGCTGAAACTTATTAAATACTTCCCATCATCAGTAAATTTGCGGAATGAATTATCCGGACAATCAATGTCATGGATGGTAAAACTTGGGACAAAATTCTCATAAAACTGACGAACAGAATTAACCTGCAACATTTAAAAAACCTCATTTAAAAAAAAAAAGACAAACAAGCACGTTTCACTATTAGCCCAAGAAGATGGAGTTAAGGTGCCACTACATTCAAAAAGCATAAGCAACGCATCCCTAATAAGTTTGACTTTGGGCATTTACATACACACCACCCAATTCAAATCTAAAAGCTCAACTTTAACTAGTGCGGTGAATATTCACAATTTTGATGAAAAAATGAATTGGCTCGTAGTCCTAAAGATATGTCCTCAATGATATCTAGCAAGTTTCTACAGGGTATAAAATTTGCTCAAATTATAATTGGCTGTTTAAACATAGGTGGATCAAAAATCATGCATGCTCTGTAGAATATTTTATTTGATCATGGAATATAAACATCCAAAAATAAGTAAAAAATATTGGGGCAAAATATACACCTAAAGCGCCTATTTGAATAAAACTAAATCAAAATTAATTTGGTTCACTCGAATAGTGCCTAAATGATCTTAGAATAGAATGATAGTCCGGATCCAGGTCAAAAAAATATAAAAGACCAAACCATCACAGCATGAACCTAGCTAATCATCTTTTGAGTAGGAAGCAGTCCTTATAGCCATCCCTCCCATTGTCCAAGGAAAGCATTACTCTACCAAAAACTAGTACGCCCTTATTCATGTGGTCAGAAGCCTAGATCTTCTTTAAATTGATACGCCTATCATGCTAAACTACTTTATAAGTCCTTGTCTTTAAATGCTCCATCCAAGAGAGGAACATTCCATCATGGTCTTCAAAAATAATTATACTAGCCCATGTCCAAAGGAAGAGGCAATGAACCTTCTAGGGTTTTTTCACGCCCATCTATTGCAAGTGCAAGATTCTTTGAACCTTTAAAACCATAATGATATCAACATCATCACCAACAAGATAAGCAATTGCCATCGATCAGCCAAATCTAAGAGCATTGGGCAAGCTTGCTGAGAGGAAGGACCCACACTAACAAAAATTTTATGATAGTATGGCTTTAACATCCTTAGCTTTCTTTGGATAGGCATAAAATTTGAAATGGATGACACCAAATTAGCCCTCTAAAGTTTATATGTAGCAAATTCAATCTATTTGGAGGAAATGTCTACATGATGCAAGTCATTGACGACAATCTGCCACTCACGTCTAATGTTTAATTTCACTTAAAACAGCATAATGTTGCTTATTGCAAACATTAACAGCGTACAAAGGCTCATTGCTATTTATATGTGGTATAGATAACAAGTTGTTTATAGCTATGTGGGCAATATGTTATTGCTTGTGTCAACAGCACCAAAAAATGTTGTCCTCGGTGTTGGCATCACCAATAAACAATATTAATCGAGTCATCTCCCTCCTCTATCGCACCAAGGCCAGTATATGTAGTTGCAATCACTAGTATCCCAAGATGTCTTGCTCATCGTTCCTATTGCCATGCTATATTATTATTAACATAATACCCTCAAGCTACTTAAGAGAGAATAAAATCTTGTATTTATTTGCATAGTAAAGTTCTCATATAGTCTATGCCTTATATTTTTCCCTTCATATTATTCCATGTAAATATAGTTTAACTCATTAAGAATGTGTGCTCACAAAATCTAAAGTCAAGATGAGCATAAATTTCTCAAACAGTCCTGCATTATCATAAGTATGCAACAAAAAGAAAACTAAAAGTCTTACAAAGAGGCTAACAGGTAAACTAAAAGATAATTTTTTTCAAACATCATATTAGTACGTTTCCTAAATTTAGTTTCTTAATTGATCAAAAAATCTTTTATTCATGTTCGTTCCTACCATGTTTGATATTACATACATAAGTAAACCATGAACGAAATATTTAACATGTTAACAAAATTGAACTCATTCAACTTCAGCTTTATAATTAAAAAACCCAAAATCCTATCACAAATGGTAGCCATTATCAAAACTAGCCTCAGGTTACAACCAGCAGGGCAAAACGGCCCTTATTTCAAGATTGCAAACACGATTGCTGTGGCCTCTATCCCCGAGTGAAAAGGAAAGCTCTAAGTCCCTAATCACCACTCATCTATAAGCGGCTACTTCATCTCGCTCAAACTTCTAGACTCGGGGCATGCATCAAAAAATAAACACCATAGAATAAAACGTCAAACTATACACCGCCCAGCAAGAGTTTTAGTCTCTGAAAAATTATACCAGCCAATAACAGCCAGATTTCAGACAACTGACCGATTACAAGATTGTGTATGCAAGCGTGCGCGCGCTTGTGAGAGAGAGAGAGAGAGAGAGATGGAGAGAGTACACTGGCGCTAGGACGGGGCTGGACGATTTGGCGCTCGAAGACCCTCGCGGTGACGTTGAAACTCCTAAACATCAGGATGGGCGTAAAAGCAGAGCGCCCGAATGGGGGAACAGAATGAGTCAAGGTGCCTCGCCAGCATCCTACCGGCGGGAGGGATTTGGGGGTGGCGGAGATGATAACACGGCTGAGGATCTGGAGCTAGCACTCACACTGAAGCTCGAGCTTGCTCTTGTCCCTGCGAAGTTCTCTTAGAAGCCGATCTTCCCTAGCTTTGCCATTTAATGCTCTCGTTTTAGGGGTTATAGACCTCTCAAGCTTATGCGGATGCTAACCGAGCACGTACATACAAATGGCTCGAAATCTCTGAGAAGCCAATCTTTGAGATTTGACTTCGTATTCCCTCTTAATAATGTTTTATGTAAATCTTTCGGGGCATTTACTTACATATCTCAAAACTTCTACCTATTTACATATCTAAGAGTTTTTCAGCTTTAATTTTATGCCACTCAAATCTAAATATCACTATAACTAAAATTTGAAAAGTAGACTATACTTATTTTATTCATAAGTATGATGACATTTCATACTCACTGACATCGATCACATGTTTCTATATATATATATATATATTAGCATGTATTTAAATCTATGAAAAAATATACATTTTCTTTAGATCATAATATTCTTAATATTTTTATGACATTATTGTTTAAATCAATTATAACCGATATTGATTATAAAATTAATAATTGAAAAAAAAAACAAAAAAGGGGGCCATATTATAGAAAAATTGAAATATGAATCATATATGAATCTTAATTGAACCCTAATTTAAATATATGATCGCCCTTATTCAAAGATAGATTCAAATATAATTCAAATAAGATTCACATGTGGTTTCTAAAATCTCTTTCAGCTTTTGAATGAGATTTGAATAAGGCACTGATAGGATTCAGAATAGTTTATTCAATATTGTACATATAACACTACAAATATAGTTAGAACTTAAATAATAACATATCAAAATTACAATTAAATCATTGAATAATTATTCAATGGCACTATTTCAATAATGACCCAAACAACTATCCATGTCTTTTATATTTTTTTTTAGTTTAAAAGGCATTATTCTTTAGCTTAGTTTTTTTTTTCATGATAATTTGCTAATTGGAAGAGTATAATTATGACTGAATTAAATTATATGTGATAACCAATGCCAAATTAATCAACCTTATAACTGCTTTGATAAGTGCATTACAAAGTTCTTAGGCTTGTGACCTAGCATATTAGATCGATGCTCTCGCCCAATTGTGTTGCATCAAAAGAGGTAAGGTCGTTAACTCATTAAGGTATAGATGAATACTAAGTCATCTTTATGTTTTCCATCACTTATCAATGGTTATGGATAGGCTACCTTCCCCACTTACTATTATTAAAGCTAAGGCACTAGAGTCACTTTGAATGATGAAGTTGTCAAAGAGAGTTAATGAGTTACCAATCGAGGTTGGTTGGTTGAGCTCATATCTAATTGTTCATTAGATCAATTGCTAGTGGTGAGAGACGGGTTCTGAAGTCACCTCTACTTCATAAAAACAAAGATGGCCAAAGAGAGTTAATGAGTTACCAATCGAGGTTGGTTGGTTGAGCTCATATTTAATTGTTCATTAAATCAATTGCTAGTGGTGAGAGACGGGTTATGAAGTCACCTCTACTTCATAGAAGCAAAGATGGAGGCTATATAAAAGAGATGTTAGAGAGATGTTATGTGCCCTTAAAAGATGTTTGAATGTAGCTAGTAAAGTCATTTGTTGTCTTGATAGAAAATTACAATAGTTAAGGGCTAAAGTTATTCTCACTCAATTATTTTTAGAGAATTGGAGGACCAACTCGCTCTTGGTTAGATGTTGGTTTATTCCACGGTGTCTGGTAAGGAGCAAGGTGCTTGCTCACAAATACCCTTATTGGTTATATTTTATGTTTTTTTTAATATATTTATTGGAGAAGATTCATTTTAAATATTAAGTCAACCTTGAATTAATAATATTTTTCTTCAAGTACTTGTACTTATAATTTAGTTGTATTTAATGCAATAATTTCAAAATTATTGTATTGTGTTTGCAATATAGCATATGTTTTTATTCATCATAGGATGCGTAGTATACTTGCACTTACTGTAGCATGGTCAAAGATTTTTTTTTTCATTTTTATAGTTGCTTTTTTATGGAAAAAAAAAATTTTTTTTTTTTTGCTCTTACACATCAGTTGTGATGTGCTCTCATTCTTATGAATTATGTGGTGTAGTCCAGACAACCAAAAGGGCTAACTTTGATGAAGAGAAATGATGATTAATTTTCTATTATAGAATAAATTGAGTTCATGAGTCATATTTTAAGGATAAGTATTTCAAAATTGCGTCGAGATGCATTCTACATAAAGTGCGAGGAAGATTTTTCTTTGTCTATTATTGAATGAGGTAATCATAGTGTTTTTTTTTTTTTTTTTGTAATAAACATTGATTTTTTTAAAGTTCATGAGTCATATTTTAAGGATAAGTATTTCAAATTTGCCTCGAGATGCATTCTACATAAAGTGCAAGGAGGAAGATTTTTCTTTGTCTATTCCCAAAATGTTTATCATGATACTAATTTTTTGTTTGGTTCCCTCTTTATGCTCATGATTTTTCCCTTCTATAATTCTTTTTTTTTTTTTTTTTGTAATAAACATTGATTTTTTTAAAAAAAATTGTAAAAATTATTTTAATTCGATGCTCTTACGAGTTATTTATAAATAGCCCAAAATGTTTATCATGATACTAATTTTTTGTTTGGCTCCCTCTTTATGCTCGTGATTTTTCCCTTTTATAATCCTTCTTTGTTTTCTTCATAGTTGTGCTTCTTCTTCCTTGTTATCGTGAGTGCTTTGATAATGTGAATTAAGTGGTTTTAGGACTTAGTACTATAAAACATTCAAGGTTTTTTATATAAGAGAAAACTTCATTCAGATCATCTACCTGTCTGATAACTTATTTTAGGTTTTTGCTCAAAATGAGGATGTGTGCCTTAATACCTTCTTATACAAAGATTAAGTTACTATGAAGATCATCTCCATATGATCCCTAGATTCTATATATTCCCAAAAAAGTTCAAAAACTAAATTATCAATGACATCGTGCTCGCCCAATAAAGAGGGTTATATTTTTTATTTTTACTCTATATATTTGCAAGAAATTGTTTGAAAAAATAGCAACTAATAAAGCCACCACACCTATAATTAAAGGGAAGATGTTTTGCAATTCAAGATGCCACTTTCTCCATCATGTGTAATTAGCCGAACTCCTCCCTTCTCAACAAAGAGGGTTGTATTTTTTTATTTTTACTCTATATATTTGCAAGAAATTGTTTGAAAAAATAGCAACTAATAAAGCCACCACACTTATAATTAAAGGGAAGATGTTTCACAATTCAAGATGCCACTTCCTCCATCACGTGTAATTAGCCGAACTCCTCCCTTCTTTGGCTTACTTTTAAATTTGAAGTAGTTAAAATGGTAGAATAATTATAAGATCCATTACTTTTGAACACAAATAAACTAGTTACCTTCTTTTTGAACGCTCATTTGTGGCTTAAATTGTGAGATTATATATTTGGTGCTTCTTGATTTGCTATATTGGGTAGCGATGATTGTCCATGCACTAAGATTAAAATGCAAAATTTGGACTTCAATAAATGCATATAAGTTAGGTAGATAAATATTCTAATAAATTTTCATATGATGATTTTTGAACGCTCATTTGTGGCTTAAATTGTGAGATTATATATTTGGTGCTTCTTGATTTGCTATATTGGGTAGCGATGTTTGTCCATGCACTAAGATTAAAATGCAAAATTTGGACTTCAATAAATGAATATAATTTAGGTAGATAAATATTATAATAAATTTTCATATGATGATATTTTTGGTAACTTTTGGTTGATTTAACAAGCTTGAAGCAAAGTATAAAGTAATTTGTAGTCCACAACCCAACAACTTAATTTCTCTCTTTAATGATAAATAAAGAAATTGAACTACCTATGATTCAATAGGGCTGGATTAATTGGTGCATCTTCATGCCCTGCGTTATAAATCTATGAAATCATTATTCATGAGTTAATTGACTCATCATTTTAAATTATTAATTATTAGATGGCACCGATAAGGTATGTGGAATTTAGTGCTACATTTAAGGCTCTCATGCAGAGATAAAAAATTTCTATGGAAGCACGTCAAATGGTTAGTAGGAAAGAATGCATGAATTAGCATTGAAATAGGGTTTGATTTCCATGTTCACAAGCATCATGTAGCTAACATTTATCGAATTAAATGGTAGATAAATATTTAATTAAGTAAAGTTTCAAAATTTTATAGATAGAATCAAATATCATGGTATTTGTCATAATTATAAAAAAAACCAATATTTTTTCATAAAGTGAATAAAAAAATATTGGAAAAATAAAAAGTTAATAATATAATTTATAATTTTTTTTAAATGGTTATAAAAAATAATCAAAATTTATAAAATTAATGTTAAAATCACTATTGTGAGACTAAATAATAAAAACAAAAATAATACATACATACAAATATAAAAATAAGTACTTTTTTAAACCATATTAATACTCATAATTTTCTTTTAGTGTCGTTGTTGGCATCAACTTTTGATATATCACATTTATGTGTCCATTTGAACATTATGAGACTCTATTCCACCATATTTATAGTTTCTTGTAGTTTAAGACATCAATAAAAATTCTTCAACGTGCATTTCGTACATAAAAAAATCGTTTTTGAACTAGCAGAGTCATGTCAAAAGGCAACGTAACCACACCATGCTAAGTTAATTTGGCAAGAACATGTTGACCCAACCCACAATCATGCAATTATTTAAGTTCATAAATATGACCAAAAGCTTGACCCAATTTATATCCAGCGGCTAGTGTGCAAAATTAAAAATCTTATCCTTTTGAGTCACTGCTTCCACGACACACCCATCTTTTGGGTCACTGCCTCCACGACACACCCTTCATTTGGGTCGTTGCCTCCATGGCATGCCCACCCTTTCGGATCACTGCCTTCATAAAACATCTATCCTTCGAGCTGCTACCTCCATGACATGCCTACACTTTTGGGTCACTGTCTCCACGACACACCTATTCCTTAGGTCAATGCCTCCATGACACGTTCACCCTTTTGGGTTACTACCTCCATGACAAACATATTCTTCAAGCTGCATCTTTCTTGGCAAGCCCACTTTTTTTGTTCATTGCCTCCACAACACATATATCATTCAAGCCACTAGCTCCATGACACTCTTACCATTTCGGTTCAC